ATTGTATCTCATTGTCAGTGACTTTGAAATAATATTAATTAGTAGCTGTTCCCGTGCGGCTTCATCCGCATGAAATTATGAATACTTTATTATATTGTTTACATTTGTCAAATTCTTAATTGCAAATGTCAAAAAGACATGAAATTAAGACAAATCATGGCAACCTTGCTTCCTTGATGTTGGCAGCAACTTATGGTCTCTTTCACACGTTAGGGTAAAAACCCTAGGGTAAAAACCTGGATTTTATCCAAAATATTTACCCCCTTCGTTTAAGGGCGTAAAATATATAGCCTAAAACCTGACGTAAGTATAGAGCTTTTTATTAAAAAAAATATTTAAAAATATGCTGTAAATGCTGACATCTTAGGCAACAAAGAAGTGTGTGTTTACGCTTTATTATAATAGTATAGATTAAAGTTGTATAAGACCAATGGTGTTCACAATACGCCGTTTTGCCAAAACATTCCACAGCATTGATTATTAGTTTTGGAAAACAGAAAGTTTTGTATAAAGTATTAATATGTTCATTCAAGTATATTAAAATAAACTATATAACAAAGGGCCCAGCAAAATGGGACCCAAAGAACAATGGAATGAAAATAAAATAAAACAGTTAAAAACAAAAAATTATGTTCATTAAACATAATAAAACTGACAATGTGTGCATGGCACATAAAGACTTACCAGCGCAATACTGAAACGACATTTGAATATGGCGTCATAAATCCAAATTTCATTACCATTCTGAAGTTTATCAAATTGTCTTCTATTAGATACATTTTAGAATGTTCGAATAAAAAAAATAAAGGCAATAAGAGTACAATTTCTCTACTTTAACCAAGGAAACTTGTCTTAATAACGTTTAACAATCACAAGCCTGAAAATGCAGCATTTCGAACAGAAAAACATATTGAAAAACCACGTGATTTTTATGAGGTACTAGCTTTCGCCCGCGACCATCCGCGTGGTATTAAAAAAAAACAAAAGTAAGTAGCCTATGTGTTCTTCCAGACTATCCGCTACATCTATGCCAAATTTTACTAAAATCCGTTGAGCAGTTTAGGCTACAAACTCTAAGCAACATCCATCTATCCATCTAAACTTTCACATTTATAATATTAGTATGATTGCGGTCTAATTCTGTATTTAAAATTGTTCGAATTTTACTTAAGGTTAAACCATTTCGTAAGAACCGATTTTATTTCATTACCATTATCAAAATAATTTTATTGCCGTGACGCAGGCCGACCCCATTAGCTGACCCAACGAATTTCGTTCTATTTCTACTAAGGGCAAAACCAGAAATTGCTTCCTCATTTATAAATAGTTGGTTTCGTTTACTAATCATTGTTAAAACTAGTAAATATGTGTTTTAGAACAAACACGTTCAAAAATAAGATAATTGTTTCTGGTTAGGAAATTCATTTAAAATTTAATACAAAAAAAACCTCTGTCCAATGTCTTTGATTTGGAAAAGCTCAGGCATTTAATAAACAAAAGGTATCATAGTAAACAAATTGTCGTAATTTATTAAGAAGTATAAATAAATAATGTTACCCGAAATATTTCTACAACAGAAAAACTCCCAATTTTCAAAACGGAATTATTTAAGTAAGCTTCAAAATATTAATTACACTAAATTGTCTGTCGCACATTTAACTGTAACGAATCAACATAAAAGCAACATTATTTTTAATGTTTCATGCGTTATCTATACCGTGTTGAAAGGACTCTAAAATATTGCCAAGTAAACAAACTAAATTGGCAGCGACTTTAAATTTTTATCTTTGTTTAATTACAAAGATCATTTAGTGTACGATCTGATGTTAGTTTGCGTCCATTTCTTATCAATCTTTGATCAATAAATTAAGCAAAAACTAACAATAGTAGCGAATGTTTCGTTGTAATGAATGTATTTCTATCGATTAGTGATCGGCACAGAGCAGGCAAAGGCCCGAACACGAGTGCTCGAGACGCACACATTAATACTCGCTTTCGTATTGTGAATAAACATCGTAATGTAGCAGATAAACTAGGATGGGAGCCAAGACGAAAATATGCCACGGCGCGTTTTTCCATTGGATTTCGCGCTTTGGAAACGGGCAGTAGTCCCCTAAGACTCATTGTTGGTGATCAGAGAGGATGCTACCAGTACTGCGACAACAAACGACGCTATCTACCAGATAAATGAAAAATTGCTCCATCTCTTATGTCATTTTTCAGCATTTTTATGTAATTCTGTCCGTACGACGGAAATACCAAAAGAACGGCGTTACACAATGATCGCTAACGCTTCCATCGCTTTCGACTTCGAGGCTATTTGTGTTTAGTTCATAACAGAGGGATATGTACCTAATGTGTGGAGTGTATGTCATTCTGTTTTGTGTCGTGTGGCAAGGTCGCACGTGGGGGGTGTCCAGCGAACGCACGAGACAGGTCGATGCACACGCGTCAAGGTGGTCACGGAAATTTTCATTCAAACGCCAGTTCTATTTACATCGTCGCAAATTACAAGTGGCGCGGCTTCCTCCGGCTTGCAGCGTGCGGTGGCGGACC